TACTTAATGATGGATTTTTCTCAGTTTTTTGGGCTATTTTGGATAATGAAATGAATTGTTTACTTGACAGACAGGTGGCTGTATAGTGCTTATAGTTGATTTTAACAATATGTGACAGTAAGAAAAATTAGAGCCTATTAACATTCACTCAACCCAGTGTCTGCACCACTGATCAATGCTTGGACTACTGTATGGCTTAAAATGCTTAATAAATCTTTGTTTGACAGGAACCAACTGCTGTTGGAGGAAAACTTGGATGATCTGATAGCTGGCAGAGTGAATGTGGCCTTCACTTTATAAACAAGGAAGATGCGTATAATTGGGGAGCAGAATGAGTGAGAGAAGTCTTTCAAGGCTTGTAGTGACTGATGAACTATATTATGATTGACACACACATTCTGTGTTTTGCATAAAAGCGTTAGCATCTGATTGAGTGGAAAACCAGGGGAAAGTGAGATTGCCTATGTGATTAGTGAAAGGTAATCAGCCATCTGTTAGGCATAATGCCCTTAATAAAGATGAAGATAGAAAGCATATGTGTGCATGTGCTTACACAGGATCTCCCACCTTTTATACAAGTATCCATGAAAATATAGAACTGTATATAAAGAACTCACACGAGGAAAAAAAATGCTCTCAATTAATCTATTTTTTTCTCCCACCAGAAACAGTAGACGCTTGTAGCTATGTTGCATAGTTCATAAATGTGTCCTTTCAGTGGACTGAAACAGTAGCTTCAGAAGTGACAGAAACAAATACTTTGAGGTGTATTTTTTTAAAATAATGGCATCATAACTCTCTCTCACTCGGATTGTGATGATGAAAATAAAGCTATGTCCTGAAAATATTGAGCAATGAACTTTTTATTGATCAGGACATTTGAAAATATATTTTCAGCTGTTCACCTGCAAATTTAAAATCATCTAGTTTATACAGCTATTCCAGGTATGAAAAGGATTTGCTTTAGAAGAAAGCTAGAGTCTGATGCAGCATTGCTTTCCCACCTAAAATTGTCATCGATGCTACCAGGGTTTTGTGATGTAGAAAACAAGATGGCACTTAGCTTTGCATGTTTATAAAGAACTTTAGCAGTGATAGAGATCCTGCTTAGAAGGAAATGAACCAATTCTTTGCCTCTTTTCAAAAATTGTTTTTGCATAGTAGTGTATGAAGAGCAACTCTAAAAAATGTATTCAGTTTTAATATGTGTTGTAACACTTATTATAGTGTTTTACAATTCACTATCTGTACATCTCACAAAATCTGGAAAAATAAAATACTCCAGAAATATAACAAACACTAAGGCTAGCATTTAAAATCAGTCACTTAAAATGTCAAGCCCTGCAATACACAAGCCCAAAGTATTGTTTAACTTGATCATCCATTCATATCTTTTTTTTTTAGCAAATGTTTTAATCCACTAGATGACAGCTTGGTATATGGAATATTGTTCTTAAATACACTTTTTCAAATTTCATATTAAAATTTGTTTTGCTGAAATTTGTCATATGTCACCGATGGTACATTATGCAAATACTGGAACGGCTGAAGGACTTCCATGCCCCGTCTTGCTGTTTCAACCTTCCATGTTTCAGTATAAAAGTAATATCATAAGTATTGGAGGGGAAAGGGTATAGCTGGAGGACAATAGATGCAAGTGTCCATTTGAGAATGGGGTGGAGAGCAGCTAATTTAGTCATCTTCAGCAGCTGGTGTCTTAACGAAACTTCATAAATGCAAGGCTGCTGACCTAGTTAGAAATATGGAAGTCTAATTTGCACGTGGTCAGTAATCCAAAAAGGAGAACCTACTTCTGCTCAAAAGTATTTTGGCAAGTTTTGTAACTCCTAAATTGTGATGTATCTGTGAGGTTTGCTGTTGTTGCTGGGCCTTGTTGTTTGCTATTTAGTATTTCAACATTAGAACTTCGTAAAAACACCTCTGTGGCAGAGATTTTCCTATTTTCCTTTCATATCCAATGCATGAGGGTGACTGAAGCTTGCGCTCTCCGTGCCTTGCCAGCATGTTTCATAGGTCAGCGCAGGCGTGACAGGGGAATTATGTTGCTTTGCCCCAGTTGCGGAGGAGCTAGGGGAGGGATAGCGGGGTGGAGCTTACAGTTTCTCCAGTGATTTTAGGAGCACTCCTGTGAACGCACTGCTTCAGTGCCAGTTTTCTCGGAGAGAGCAGGAGAACCTTTCAGTTTTCCTTTCTCGCAGTGTAGTTGGTGATGACTTTATTCTGCCGAGAAACAATTTAATGAATCTGTGTCCTAGTGTTCAGATTCAGTCATTTCTAGCTGCAACAGTTTCTCCTTTCAAGCATTTTAGGGCTTCTTAAAGCTTTCCCAGACCTTGCTAATTAGTATCCACAGTGTGTTTTATTACCTTTGTAGGAATTTTTTTCTTAAGAATGTGAAAAGAATCATCTATTTTAAAGTTTCTCCACATATTCTTACTTGAAGTATTGCAACTTGTGATCTGGCAGAAAGAAAAGGATTCAAAGGACTTGACTTTAAGAGCAACTAGGATTAAGGAGGCATTAGCTGTAATGCTGGAGAGCCCAGTATATAGAGTCAAGCACATCGTAACAAAAACCAGGTCAGCAGGTTCCTAATGGTTGCTAATTGCAAACTCAGTGTATTAAAGCTAGAGCTATGCTCTGCATGCAGCATGGACTAGCTTTTGTTTGCTTCTGCAGGAGCATGTTTTAATTTCTGTTTGCTGATTGCTTTAATGTCCTTACTAGAGCTGAGTCATGTTGAAAACCTCTTGCAAAGTGCCAGGGTTTTTGTGGAAAGACTATTAAGCAAGTGCTGCACTTCCTGTGTTTCTGTATCATTTAGGGATTCAGGACCAACTCCTTTGCTGGTAGGCATGTTTAATTTGTTAATGACAAACATGCAGAAATAAGGACCACATGCACTTCACTAAAATTTCATTTTCAGGAGGAAATAATGTAAAGAACATGCTTGAAGTAATATAGTTTTGGCTGTTAGAATAGTTGATTTATATGCTTTAAAACTGGCGTTATGAGCAGCTGTCTAAGATAAAAATGTTTTCAAACTGAGTGATATGTCTAACTGTATTTTGAGTATGTAGGGTAACAGAGTTTAAGTTGAAAAACGGGCAGTGAAAAGAGATGGATTTGAAAAATACTTAGCATCCTGAGATGTTAGTTTTATACCATCTTGCTGCAGAGCTTTTTGTATAACACCGTTTAGTTCTGAAGTCTTCAAAAATCTAACTCAAAAGACTTGGAAATTGTACAGCAGGCACTGAGAATGATTGGAATCTTCTTTCATTCCCTTTCCTTGATTGCGCTGATAGAAAAGTTTGTTCTGAAGTGCCAAATTAATATTTACTAGCTTAATATCAGTTCTAAATATTGTTTTGTGGGGGTGATAGATGTGTAAAAGATAATTTACTAAGTAGTGGCAGGATAGAAAATAAAAATCAAATTAACATTAAATGTAATTTTTTTGTCCTTCCTGGCTAGAAGAAGTAGGCTGGTGTTTGGATACTTCTTTGGAACTCTCATTGCCTGCAGAGTAGTCTCTGGATGCTGAGACTCCACTTGAAATATATAGAAATATAACTCAGCAGTCACAGTATAGTTGAGTTAACAGTGAAAGGCATTGGTTTCTTTTCTGCAATCTTATAGCTCTCATGCTAAAAGGTAGAATGCAGTTTTTATAGAAAAGAGAGTCAAACTGTAAAAACTTGGAATGTTGCCCAAATTAATAGCTGTACAACTGAGTTACTTGCAGTTGCAGCACTATGGAAAAGGAATACAAACAAAAGTTATTAAAATGTAGTTGAAGTATTTCTAATATGCACTTGTTAAAACAAAGGAAAAAAGCTTTAAAAGGACCTAATCTTCCTAATTCTCTTAATGTAGACTTACTGAATATAGCTTAGGGTTGCAAAGTATTGAAGAAACAAGTAAGTGCTGGTATAAGGTTTACTGAAGTTGTATGTCAAAGGCACGCATGTGTCAAATTTGAGTCTCTCCAAAGTTAGGTAAAAAAACACATCTCCTACTGAACGAAAGTTCTCATAATGCTTTAGATACTTACCTCCAAACCAGGTGCATGCTGTTAAGTAGAGTGTTCTTTCTTGGGCATAGGGTTTATGGCAGCCTTCTGTATTACATACAGCTAGAGTGTACAGAGACAGAGGTACAAAGTAAAATGTTTTACTTACTTTTTCCAGTGAACCTTGTAAGAGTATATTAATGACACAGCTTTTTGGGCTTTAATAAAGCCACTCTTGTAAAATGATGTTTTAATTTTAGGTACATATTTTGACATTTGAAATTCTTATCTATAAGTTTTGATAGAGCTGTTGCTTATTGCAACAGTTCTTCATCTAACAAACCTACAAGAATTTAAACTTCAAAACTAAAATCTGCCTACAATAGATCAACCAAGTGTCCTCAATAGTTGCGTCAAATTTGCCTTCAAAATTTTTGTTGTACGTGACCGGTAGTCGAGTGGGCAGTTGGGAAATTTGAATAAAACTTGAGATATTTTGTGTTTAGTCATAAATTTCAGGCCAAGGAATATGTTCTAAAATGTTCTAGTTTACAAATACCAGTCCTACATTAACTTGTGGAGTTTAGTAAAGTTCTGCTAGCTTTGTCAATGCTTAGTTTATTTATGTTGCAGTTGTAGAATATCAGAATATATTTTTCATCAATGAAAACTGTCATTTCCAAGGTGATTGTCTACAATAAGAGAAATGCAGTACATGTTATTTTTCTCAAACAAAAAAGTTTTTTGTTCAAATCAACAAAGTTAATTTGAAAAATCTATTTATTCTTGAATTTCTAGTGTAGATTTTCAGGGTGAAGAATTTATTTAGAAGTACAATACCTCTCAGATGTTACCTTTTACTCCTTGTGAACATTTTTGTTGCAAAATTTGGTGCCATAACAGCAGTCTCTTTTCTTTTTATCTTTACAGCTATTTTGGAAAGAATTATGGTTTAGACTTTCCCATGTTAGCCATGGATGTAGCACTTTCTCCCATGAGAACACAAGAACTGGATCCCATGCCAACTGCTGCATCTCCCATGCTTATAAACATGACTCCTACAGTGGAACGAGATGGGGAAGAGGATGTCATGAAGGAGCTTGATTCTGGCCAGCAATATGAAAAGCCTCCTCCTCTACACACTGGGGCCGATTGGAAGATTGTTCTCCACTTGCCAGAAATTGAGACCTGGCTTCGGATGACGTCTGAAAGAGTCAGGGATCTGACCTACTCTGTCCAGCAGGACTCAGATAGCAAGCATGTGGATGTGCATCTAGTACAGCTGAAGGTAGGATGAATTTTATATTGCAAACTTTTTGGTGGAGGTGGTTCACTCAACTCTGCTACTGGTAACATTAAAAACAGGGCTTTTCATAACTGTCTGACAGCCTGTTTTAAAAAGTGAATAAATCCTTTTCAGGGAGATAATATAAACCATATCATTCTCAGATTTTTTGCAACATTATTTACTCATCACTTAATTCAACAATATGCATAACCATATTAATGCACATGTTCACACTCCAAGAGCAGCTAATACAACACTAACAGTAACCTGACCGGACATCTCAGAAGTGCACAGAAATATTCCCATCGATTTTAACGGGCTTCAGTACCTAAAACTCCCAAATTTGTGTCCCAGTAATCATGGCCACTCATTTGAAAACTAAGCAAGTTTCAGGGGCAGTAGGATAGAAAGGTGGTCTAATATCTGGCCTTTCAGTCACGTAAAGGTTACGTTGAAGATTGAACTTGGGTGGGACTACATATAAAGTGGTAAATGTGTAGAAATTTTTTTCAGATCTGAGTCTTGGTAAGAAATATGAAGTGATATGATTCGAACAGTCACAGTCAGTAAATCAACCTTTTTTTTTTTTTTTCTCAGCAAGAAAATGCATTAGGAAGACTGGACTTTGTGCCCCCAAAATCTGTGTTTTGTGTAAACTAAAAGAGCAACAATCTCCCTTCCCCCAACCCAACAACTGAACACAAGTATCTTCAAACAATTATCTCTCTCTTGGTCCCAGATTTAAATTTTGGTGTTGAATCTTTAAAGATATTAAGGAAATTCAAGGTGAAATTCAAATAAATACTGTCTGGGACTGTATGTATATGTTCATTTCCATGGTTTGGTTTGCTGCGGCAGATGAAGCATGCTTTTGAAGGCAGCAAACAACTTCCAAAAATAGCAGGCAAATGTTATCTCTTCAGACTGAGCTGTCTTCAGAGTTGCATTCTGAGGCCTGTTTATGTGAACATAGTCTTCCTTCATACTCAGCGCGATGGTATTTTATTTGTGTTTATTTTAGGACTGGAGCTCTAGGCTGTCTTAAAATACAACTCTGTGTACTAGTGCTAACCGTAGAGCAATTGTACTATAATCAGTCCTAACCAAATAGAGAGTTGGTCTTGATTGTTTTATGGTCCTACCATTTTCCTGAAAAATTTGGGGTAGACATTGCCAGCTTTTGATGAGAAAAAGGACTATGTCCACAACATGCCGTAGGTTTTTAGCAAATACGCCTAAAAGGTATTTCTGCAGGCAGACATAATAAATCTTGCTGTACTAGGTGCCAGTTCTGATCTGGAATTGCTTGTGGCCGTGTTAGTGCAGTGCTGAGCTGAAACTAAAGAGCTGTGGAGCTTGTGGATGGTATTTGCACACAGCTTTGGGCTGGCTCAGAGCAGAAGCAGCACTGCTTTGTGTCTGCTTACAAAATGAGAATATTCTGCACGTATAACTCACTCGCACACATCCACTAAAATGCTTTATTTCCAAATGGATGTCAGTGAATGAGTAGCATTCCTTACTGTTTTCTCCTTTTTAGAGTTAATTTGTGAAGCTGCAAGAATCAACGGTAGTTCATAAAATACTTTCCTAACAGTTTTTGCAATTGCTGTAGCACCTAGGGATTGTTTGGGACTAGGAAGAGATCTGGTTAATGCAACTGTAAAGAAAGACAAAAGAATAACATGAAGGACTCTCAATTATCTGCAATTATCTGGCCTGTCAGCCTGGGGGGGGCCTGTCATTGAGGCTGTCAAATATTCTGTGTACAGACCCTGGACTCGCAGGGAAGTGCTCTTTTTCTCTGTGTTTATATACGTATGCATCTGCGTGCGTGCATGATAATGACTTGTATTTGAAGATATTTTTTTAAATATTTTATATATTTTTAAAGTTTTCACAAAGTAACATAAAAAGAAAAAGCTTTCAAAAAGATCTCTAGTAGTAGTAGTGAAAACTGCAGTAAAGTCTTAACACATCAGGAATACAGAACTTCTGTAACCTGCTTATCTTTAAACCTGTATACAGACAAAAAAGAAATAAGAATGTAAAAGCAAGTGTTGTGGAAATGCTTTTATTCAGATTTTAGATATATTTTAAATTGTTTATCCTTGTATCTTCTTGCATCATATAACAATGAAAATCAGCTAAGCAAAAAAAAAAACCAAAAACATAGCCTCATACAGATCCTCTTTTTTTATTTGTTCTGTGCTCTGACAATTCTCCTTGAGGGGCTCCTTCCAACTGATCTGGGTCCTTCTGGAATTGTTGTGCCCAGGCTTGACACAGGGCTCAATGTGAGCCCATTGCCAGAAGACTGGAAAAAGTATTTCTCATGTCTTTCAAACAATACATAGCAGTTAAGTATTTTCCTTTTTTCACAACAGCAGGAGGTGGTTGATTCATGTTCAGCTTGTGGCTCACTGTAACTCCCAAACTCCTTTGCTGCACTATGGGTTTTTCACCTCTCTCTTATCCATTTTTTCTGTGAAATTTTACATGTAGGATTTTGCCTTTGTCTGTTATTGAACTTTTTTTTTTTTAATCTTCCATTTCTCAAGTGCGTCCATGACTTTTTCAGTTCCAAATCCATCCTCTGATATGTTTAAAGTATCTCCCCCAAGCACACATATTGTCGTCATCTGCAAATTTAAGAAGCATTCTCTCCACTCCTTTGTCCAAATCATAAAGACAAAAATGAATGATACAGATTCAGGATAAAAATCTATAATATAATAGTTTCTGAATATAATTTTTAAACTGCAAATGTAGCAGTAAAGCAAACAATTTTTCATTTTCTCATAGTCTGTTTTCCTTGGCCAGGAGAGGTCCAATTCCATTTTTAGGCAGCTTTCTATTCATTTTGGATGCTTAAAGTTGATTTCCTTCCTCTGGCTGTCAGTTGGCTCATGGTGATAGGGCTGGTTTGAGGATCTAGGCCATATCATACTTTTTATGTTATTCCTTGGAAAAATTGCTCAGCAAACAGATCATCTCTTTCTCTTGTGAATATTTGCTCTGTATTCTTGTTGCAGATCTGTCTGTGCTTCTGCTCTTTCTGTAATCAAGAGTGTTGTTTCTTTTTTGTGGCTTGTTCCCTGGGGATTGTGGTATTTGCTGCCAGTCTCTCTTCATGTTATGTGACTTAGGGCTTTACTAGCCAGCACTGATCCTTTGAAAATACTTGTTTCTCTCACTTTTGCAATGCCCTTTCTCAGAACTAGCCACGCAGCATGAGTGGGAGGCTTTTCTTATGTCGTCCCTTGGGAAATTACCTGGAAAGCTCAGCTTCACATGAGTGCTTCAGTAAGCTAGATGCATGAATCATAACTCTCCAGGGTCTGGAATGCCTTATATTAGTCATTTATCTGGTCATCACTCTTAAACTCAAGCTGTGCTAAGATACATTTACATCTCTCTCACACATTCAATGTAGCTGTTGCCAATTGGAAATATTTGTAAAAGACATGAAAAAAATTATGTTTTTACTACAAGCAAAACTAAAAGTGCTCTTTCTGTCCTTGTATTGTGTTAACCTGCTGAGATGTTTTCATGATCCATTTAGCTTTTTTAGTCTGAATAAAATATGCTTCATTTTACAGCAAATTCTTTCTTGGAATCCTCCTGAGGTCCATCTTGGATTCAACTCCCATTCTTCTGCTTTACTTTATCTCTCTTAACTCTCTCAGGGAAGGGTCTAGTGTTTCAACTCCTTGTTACTGCTTTCTGTCTTTTTGAAAAATACTGTCATTTTGGATGATCTCATATAATCTTCTGTATTTTAGATGTCTGTTAACTTCTAACTTATTGTGGAGTAAAGCGCTCCACCACCACTTTGTGACTTAAATGTCTGAATCCTATATTGTATATTGACATAGAAACAAACACATTTTATACTATGATAATGTCTTTAATTTTTTGCAGACCACTGATATTTTCTCTTTTTCCAAGTAAAGAGACTTCAGTCATCTTTTTCCAGGATACCTGGGTCAGCCTCAAACATCTCTTGACTGGATCTTTCATCTTTCCTTCTGACTCCTACAACAAGACTTTAATGAACTTTGGATAGAGGTCAAATATCATGTAATCATTATCCTTTTGCTATCTCTGTTTCCGCTTTTTGGGGAGCCAAAGAATTTTTAGTTGCTTTTCTCCATGTATTTAAATCCTGGACAAGAGAAGAGTGTAAGAAATTATCAAAGCAAGATATTCAAGGGTATTAGTTTCTTATATATCTGCAGTTAGAGATACGTTATTCCTTTTTTCATTCCATTACAAGCATTTTGAAAAAATATAAACCCAGGGTACTGTAGGTGTCTTTCTCATCCCGTCCTCTTGAATTCAGTAGGCTTTTATTGAATAAATATTGCTAGTTCTATTGAATAAATACTGAAGGCTGGACCAAATGACCGTTCTGAGTACTTTTCTACGTTTTTTCCCCTGTGTCAGTTCCTTTCGAGAGCAAAAATCAATCTTTTTTTTTCAGATGTTAAAATAAGTCACTCAAAATGTGGCTGAGTCTGGAAGATAACTTCACTAAGTTCAATTTCTTGTAATTTGGAACTCAGAACTGTCTTTATCATAATCTGTAAAAGGGCCTACTCAACGCTAGCAGCATTGCTACCATGTGTCTTTCTGTAACATTAGAAACAGGGCTATTCTTTCTTCTCACCTTTGGTTCGATGACTTTCAATGGCTCTATTGTTCTGAGGCTTGTGACAACATACCTTGCTTCTGCAGTTGTACAGCTTTTCAGCTGTGCTATCTGAACCACCTTTAACTAAGTGCGCGGATGAAGTTTTCCTAGTGTCTGAATCTCTAGACTGTACAGACAACTGTGTATTATAAGAGAACTTGGAGAAGAATTAAGCCTCATCATGTTACCATAACACAATTGATATTTTACAGATGATCACAAAAAATGTTAGTAACAGTCTTTACAGAAGGATGTATATGTGAAGCTCCTAATGGAAATAATGCGTGGACTGCTTTACCTTGAC